ATAAACTGAACAGTCCTGAATTTGTACTTGGTTATCTTGTCATTGTTACGTGACCTGGGATATACAAAATGTATCATCAATGCACCATCATTATAATTTTCTATTTAGCTAATAACTTAAATGGATGGTTAACTTCAGCTGCTTTGAAGTTGACAGCTGATTGACAGCACAAGACAAGGACAAAAATCCCAAGTTTCTTATTTTCAACTGTTTGTATCTTAAAGTATTGCAAAGGTGCTTATTAAATCCTTCTGTTTCCCTGTATAGGTTGACAGTAGGGATATCGACCCAACAGGCAGGCAGGAGGGACAGTTGGATGAGACGTTTGAGGGAAACAACATTGCCAGCACAGCCATAACTCTTGTTGATTGCACAAGTATGTGACACTGTTCAGTTTTTACTCTAGTACATGCAAGCTGTCATGCATTGCTAATAGAATTAGTATTTTTTTTTCACCTTCTTTATTGGTTTTCCAACCACCAAACATACATATGCAGGGAAAGACAAGAGTCTCCCTGAAGTGGATAGTTTGTTACAATATAATCAAAACACATAATACAATACAATCAATGAACAATAAACAGCTTAAAGATAACAAAATTGGATGCAGATACAGCATGGGATAGCTTATGAAACAGACTCATTTACCAATCAGTTGCCTGTCCCTGGTGCTTACTGTGTTCCTGTCCCTGGTGCTGACCATGTTTCCCTGTCCTTGGTACTGACTGTGTTTCTCTGTCCCTAGTGCTGACTGTGATTTTCTGTCCCTGTTGCTGACTGTGTTTCCCTGTCCCTGGTGCTGACTGTGTTTCCCTGTCCCTGGTGCTGACTGTGTTTCCCTGTCCCTGGTGCTGACTGTGATTTTCTGTCCCTGGTGCTGACTGTGTTTCCCTGTCCTTGGTGCTGACTGTGTTTCCCTGTCCCTGGTGCTGACTGTGTTTCCCTGTCCTTGGTGCTGACTGTGTTTCCTTGTCCCTGTTACTGACTGTGTTTCCTGCCCCTTGTACTGACTGTGTTTCCCTGTCCCTGGTGCTGACTGTGTATTTTCTGTCCCTGTTGCTGACTGTGTTTCCCTGTCCCTGGTGCTGACTGTGTTTCCCTGTCCCTGTTGCTGACTGTGTTTCCCTGTCCCTGGTGCTGACTGTGTTTCTCTGTCCCTGGTACTGATTGTGTTTCCCTGTCCTTGGTGCTGACCGTGTTTCCCTGTTCCTGGTGCTGACCGTGTTTCCCTGTCCTAGGTGCTGACCGTGTTTCCCTGTTCCTGGTACTGACATTGTTTCCCTGTCCCTGGTACTGACTGTGTTTCCTGCCCCTTGTACTGACTGTGTTTCCCTGTCCCTGGTGCTGACTGTGATTTTCTGTCCCTGTTGCTGACTGTGTTTCCCTGTCCCTGGTGCTGACTGTGTTTCCCTGTCCCTGGTGCTGACTGTGTTTCCCTGTCCCTGGTGCTGACTGTGTTTCCTGTCCCTGTTGCTGACTGTGTTTCCCTGTCCCTGGTGCTGACTGTGTTTCCCTGTCCCTGTTGCTGACTGTGTTTCCCTGTCCCTGGTACTGACTTTGTTTCCCTGTCCCTGGTGCTAGTGAAATGGTGTTTAACTTATATATGTACATTGCTTGTATTTATCCCTAGCCCTACTGGACCTGAGTGTGGAGGCATTCTCAGTGTCAGACAGTAATGTGGTAGCAGCAGGGTCTCCGCTCACCCTCAGTCTCTCAGTGGACATCGTGTCAGTGGACATAGCCAGTGTCTTCTCTACCAAGACTGACCAGGAACAAAATTACAACTTCAGACTCATCTTGTCACAGGACAAAGACCTCAACCCAACTGGTAAGCACGTTTAAACTTTGAAACTTGTTGCATTTACAATAAGAACAAAAAAGTTAGAAAGGAATATAGAGTACCTAGAATATAAAATGCATTAAAGTTGATGGCAAACAAGACTCATTGATAACTCTAGTTGAGAACAACCCTTTGTGTTGGAACAAAGGTTTTAACTTAAAACATGTATTACTACAAACACAAATGAAGTATAGAGTAGAGTGAATTTATTCCTCAAGCTAACCGACATCTCGCACACGCAGTCTTCCCTCAGTAAGACATCTGGAGCCGCATAGTTCCCATTTAGAACTTTTATTTAGCCTGTCACACACACAGATGAACTTTCATGACAATGTGAGACAATGTTTAAACATTTTCTCTAGATGATGAACCATCGTCCTGCCTGCTGTACCAACAGTCCGAGCTGATGATGAGGATGGATACATGTGAGACTGAGTGTGCCGTGTCAGGAGACTACACCCAGTGTGTGCAGCAGTGTGTGGGACAGATCTGGGCCACGTCTCACCACTGTCTCACAGATCTGGCAAACGGTACTTCATTGCACTTTAAGTTTAAGTTTATGCATGCAGTCATTTATGGGGAAAAGTTAAGATAGATACTTGGCTTTGGAAACATTGGGAAAAGTTATCTTCATCGCCTTTGATGTACCAAATAGATCCTTTAGAAAAAGGCATTTAATGCAATTTTGGGGTGACAAAGCTAGATTTACAAGTCAATTTTTTGGTTATTCTTTAATGTTTAAGTTGAATCCCATGCTGATATATAATGGCAAAAATGTGCTGACAGAAAATGGTTGCTTGTTTTGTATGATCATAGGCTGGTTCTAGCTATTCATAATAGGGGCAGCACCCAAAGAAAGAGAAGCCTCAGGTTGCTTTTTTGGGGCTATTTCGAATGCTTCGTATGAAATGGTGACAAAAATGTGCTAAGAAATGGCAGTAAATGCCAATATTAGGCAGATTTCCTCATCCAGATAATAAGAAAGTTGTCTTCATCAGTTTTGATGCAGAATCAATTTAATAAGTCCATTTAAATCCAGCACTGGCACTCAGTAGCTGGACTGGCAGATGGATGAATAATTTTGTCTACTTTTCAGTTGAACGTTGTTTATAGTACACTGTACTGCTATATCATGATATCATGATCATGTACATTAACTATAATCACATAATGATTATACATCTCCCTTACCTTCCAGATCCTGATATTCCTGATCTAGTCCTCCCGTTCAGCACCCTTCAAATTCCACAGCTGCAGGAAGAAGTCTTGTATCCCTACATCACCGACAACTTGGCCGTGAACATGACAGGAAACTCCACCACTGTCAGCCACACCATCACATCAGGGGACACTGCACCATTCCTGCTGCTGCCTCATCGCGGTTATGTCTGCAACAGATACTGGTAGGTTCATATATTAGTGAATTCAGTAAATTCTGTATTACCCAAGTTACCAGCTCGACTGTGGATAGGATTGCCTGATGGCCGAATGCCAGGCGGAGATCTGACCAGAATGTTGTTCAGAAAAGAACAAGAAATAGTCTGCGGCCTTCAGGTAGCAAAGTTATCAACCAAGGATCGAGGTGTTCAAAAATTAATTCTTTCCTGGAACTATCACAAAGTGGAACTTGCTGTAACCAAAGTACAGTAGGGACATTATTATTAGATAGCTTTCAACAATGTTTAGAGTTTGATGTTCAAGGCTTAGGTATAACAAGTTGTACGATGTAATGTAGCCAGCTGCCACTGCGCCGCATGCCTACAGATACAGATACAGACCAGTGGAAGGGCTGGGACTGAGGGTGATGCGTAATACATCATCATGTTGTATTTTTTTAATATAATATGTCACTCACCAGAGAAAACAAATGTCAATGCAAAATGTGCCAAAATCTGGTGTCCGTTAACAAAAAATTGTAACAACATCAACTTAATCATCCAAATCTGATATTCAAATTTTCAAAAGTGGTGCATGTGGTGCAGGTGAATTTTATCATTCTATGGAAATGTTGGAAGCCCATGTGAAGTAATTATTTGTAACCATATGCTTTGAATTTTTAACATACATGTATTTCAATTTCCTGGCTTTCACTGCCTGTACAACTCATGATAGTTGACTGTTAATGTTGGGCTATCCTGGCTAAGCCTTTTTATGGTCTTCTAATATTAAAGTAAGTAGTAAGATTAAATTTTTCACTTATTTCACTTGGGCTTTTTAAGTTTCTATAATCAATAAGGATTTTATTTGGTTCCAGGCACCTTGGGGTCGATGTCTTTGTAACAGAGGAAGCTGAAATAAGAGAAACCTTCACACAAAATAATTGGGCATTTCAGAGGATCTACGTGTTCTGTCCAGGTAATTATCAAACTGTCTATTATTAAAAAATTATCATCATTCCAACACAGTTCTCAGTGGTAATGTTACTGTCAAACATCATTGTTCAACGTCACCATGGTTTGTGTTCATTTGAGAGCCTTGCTGTATCAAAATTCCTGGGATGGATCATGCAAGGTGGTCTAGAGGTTGGGGTTGTTGGGTCAGAATCCATCGGTTCTGGGTTTGAATCCCTGGCAGGCTGAAGTGTTGTATCCTTGGGAAAGGCACTTAACACCCATTTTCTCACTAGACTCAGGTGTATATGATTACTTAACTTTGGTTAGGGATGTCCCCTTGGATGAGAAGTAAAACCAAAGGTCCCAGTCTCAGCCACACCTTGAGCATGTTTAAGATCCCACCACACTTATCGAAAAGAGCAGGGGTCCTTCCCAGTGTGAGTGGTTCAAACCTTACAGTCTGGTTTCAGGGTTGACATCTTGAAGAGGTGATAGTCACCAGTTATGTCATTCGTTCCACTAATGTGGTAAATTTTCATGAATACATGCAAAGATGAAGTGCAATGACAGAACACTAATCTGACTGACTGTCTTCCCTAGCCGACAGTCTGTCCCTGTTGTCGGTACATTTCATGGGGGAGTTGGAGTATAGCCGGAAGGTGTGGGCAGACGTCAGCTATCCCATCACCTACTCCATCCTCCTGGGCAACCTCGGCAAGGACGACATTCCCCCTGTAAGGAGTTTAAAACAATACAAATTAAATTTTTGATCTTTGAATGGTTTCTTCAGGTTGGTAAGTCACTGAGTGAAGAATACTCTCTCTGAGGAAGGTGACAGATGGTCACCAAAAAGTCTGCTGAATAAAGACTTGGTTGTGTAGAAAGAGTCTCTTTACTCATTTATTTTTTTATGTTCTCAATGTATTCTCAATGTGTGATTGCATGCAAATATTGGCAGTGTCTTTGGCAATAGAGATTTTTAAAAAGTCAAAGAGAGAGAGTGTAATTATAATGACTGCTTACGGTGGTGATCAATATTATACAACATTTGGCCTATGGGCTGAATGCTTTTGCCGACCAGTATGAAAAATGAAGGAATTGTTTTTGGTATGTCTTTACCTGTGTGTCCGAATGACCGCCATCTTGGTTTTCAATGTTAATATGAAAAGGATGTTTAAGCAAGATGCAAAGCAGAATGTTCTGATTGACTTATCTAGCACTACCCAAGGCTTTAGGATAAACCTTTTTAGTAATGTTTACAGTAACACCACAGTGCAGTTACTAGCACTTCAGCACCAAGGACAGGGTCTATAGCCTGATATCGTTTTTACCTAATATTATGAAAAATGGAGGGTATTGCTTTTGAGTGAGTGTTGGTGTGACTGTGTGTTTGTGTGTGCGTGTGTGTGTGTGTGTGTGTGCGCGCGTGTGTGTACGTGCGTGTATGTGTGTTTGTGTGTGTGTGTGTGCGCATGTGCTTGTGCATGCATGCGTAATGGATATGGTTGGGTTCAGTCTGTCCCAGAGGTAGAAATTCATTAATAACATCTACATCTAGTAGTGCTTGCTGTTTTCAAGTGTTTTTCATACTAATTTTGACAATTTATACCCACAATGTACATGTATTTCCAGGCTGCAGCACACCAGTCCAACTTCTACATTGACCTTTACTTCTCAGAAGATGAGTTCTTTAACGCTGAAGAAGATAAATGGTTGGGCACGTCTGACAGTGCTGCTGGGATTGGTGCAGGCTTCGTCAAACAGATTGGACCCATGCCAGGTGTGAAACCATGACTTTGAGAAACATAAAATTTTTCTTTCTTTCATGTATGTACACAATTGCAGTTGGTCATTTCATCATCATGATACTAAATGTGATCCTGTTTATTCCTTTTCTCTCTTTCTCTAATAGTATATTAAGTTACATGCTGTTAGGTACTTTTTATGTCCCAAGTTACCTTCGCAGAAGGAAAACATATTGTTTTTGCTCTGTTTCTTCTTCTTCAAACAAACAAATAAGGACAGTGACCTGAACCAGATGTCTGTCACTACGGTAACTGGTGTTGGGTTACATCTGACATCATGTTGCAATTTCATAGCAGGAGGGATTTAGACTCCTGTCACCATATATTATATGAATTTTTTTGTCAAACACATTCATATAATGAGTAAGAATTAACAGAGACCATATGCAAAGGTAAACATTATGCAATTGCTTTGTAATGTTTCCTTAAGTTTAATTCCTTGTTTTTGTGGGGTGGGATGAATATATCTAGGAACTCTCCAGTTGACACTGGAGGAGTGTGAAGACTCCAAGAGGACAGCCAACGTGTTTGTGGTTGTCCGACCAAGCATGGATCTCCAGCTGGACTCCATACCGGTCAACAATTACATCGGAACACCTGTCAGCCCCTACACGGTTTATGGACTCTGTACAATCCCAGGTGGGCACTAATTTCAGTTTTGGTGCCTTTGAACCCAAAATCCTGTTTGCAAAAGGTGATTCATTGGTTTATAACAGTCGTGTCCCACACACATAGGGGTGATATTTGACCCAAATCCATGTTCACGTTTGATGCCTGCCTATTCCACTAGGAGGCAGCGATGATGTAGTATAGTGTGTCCACTTAATCTAATTAACTGGGCAGGCTACAAATTCACTACTCTGTTAACGATAGTACATAAAAGAACATCTCCACAAAAAGAAAAGCATAAAGATAAGCCGGAGGACAATAATCAGTTGAAAGAGAATTTGGTAGGCTGTCTAAAATCCGGCACGGCATTTGTCATATCTTATCCAAAAGACATACATGTACTTACAATGTATAATTAGATTTAAGTGGACACACTACATCATCACTGCCTGCAGGGGCTGTCACAGGTCATTAATTTGCTTTTCAAGTTCATCATCATGGTAAATGCTGAAAATAGATTCTGATAGTCTAGTGTAAAGTGAATCGCATATTGAACTAGAGTTCCACGATCTCATACCTTCGCCAAATGATGTTAATCTTCATGACAGACAAAGTAAAGATTATTCCTCCTGATTATGCAAATAGGATCCTCATTTGCATGAATTATATAAGTTGATCATATTCTCCAACAAAAGACAGCCTTATCTTAACAAAGAAAACCATTCTACCATTTCCTCATAAATTATGCAAATGAGGTCCTTATTTGAATAAGTTATGTTTAATGATGTTCACCTTCACTTAACTTTCAAATACCCCAAGTATAAAATTCTAGGCAGTTACCATTATGCAAATTAAGAGTTAATTTACATAATCAAAAACTTCCTGTGTTTCTCTCGTTCTCAATTACATATGTCACAAGCTTGAATAGTCCTATAATGTAATGCAGCTGATTTATAGAATTTCCTCATTAATTATGCAAATTACATCCAGATTTGCATAATTGTTGCATAATTATGTCAAGCGTCACTTAAGTTTCCTACATACCAAAAATCATGAAGATCCGTCCTCCGGTTCTTGAGTTATCCTCTTATGAATATTTTCAAAGAAATGGCCCTGCAGTTCCTGAGCAAGCCGCTAGGGGGCCCAAACCTATGTCAGTTGTTCCCCAGCACAAGACCTACCTACCATCCAAATTTCGTGACCCTAGCATGTCTAGATCATGAGATATCAAAACCGGAAGTTCAGCTGCAGTACCATAAGAAGCCGCTAGGGGGTCCAAAATCTAATCATTTTGAGGTCTCATCAAGGCCTACACACCTACCACATATGAAGTCAATCCATTGAAGCCTTCCCAAGTTATCGTGTTTACAGACAGACACACACACACACGAACGCCTACGAAAACATAACCTTCTTGGCGAAGGTAATAAAAGTATATTTAGGACAAACAATCAAAAAGCGATTGTTCCCCCAGGCCGTCTGGACCTGGGCATCACCAGGTTTGAGCTGGTGGACGACCCTGTGATCCACACCGGTCAGCCCAAGCCCTTCCTGCTGGAGGTGGATCTACAGGTGGACGGTTATGCCAGGCTGGTCCCAGCTGACCGGGACGACCCCAGGGACATCAGCTGGGGCTTCAGATTCGTGCTGCTCAGTAACAAGGATCAAGGTGGGCTGCAACCTGTGTTCTAGCCAGCCTTTTTTTACGACAGACGAAAATTTGCTTAATCCGTCATCCTTAACGGACAAAACTTGGCATGTAAAGAATAATAATGAATGAATGAAGACCTTTATTGTACACACATACCCACTAGCTGGGTTAAGTACAGGTCACAAAAAAGAATGGAATATAGATAACGTTACATACATACATTGTCAAGTAGCGCTAGCTACAATCAAGTAAATTCGGTTTCTTCTCGTTTCTTAGTAATGGCAAAAATGTAAGAACAGATATGTTTCAATACAGAGGGTTTGTCTAAGCTCATTAGAAATATAAATTTATCTGTACAGCTTAGATGTATAAAGAAGGGGAACATAGATTGTATCAGATTATAAAGATCTACTCTCTCTTTGTGGTATAGTTCACAATCCGTTACAAAATGTTTCTCATCTTCGATTCTTCCTAGATCACAGTACCGACCTATTCATTGTTCTAGGGGAGTGCGGTTATGTCTACCGGTTTCGATGTGTAATTTGTGGCAACTAATTCGAAGTTTTGTGACGGCAGTTCTGTGCCGTAAATTACCAATATTCAGGTACTGTTCTTCAGTATAGGTGGATTTGAACAGTCTGTAGGACCTCAGCTTGTTTTTGGCGGTTCCGCCTTTGTTATCATTGTGAATTTCTTTTGAAAAAGTTTGAAGGTAGATGTCTTTCAAACGCTGATTAATGGAATTAGTAATTAGAGAAGTATTTGTGTTGGGTAATAGGGGACAATGCCATATATAGCCAAAACCGCACTCCTCAGACTTCCGAACTCCTGATGCCCAACATTTGGCACCAGCTTTGTCTAGTTCTATTTGACAACAAAGAGCATCTGATAGAAAACTGTCTGCTGATACTTT